CAACAGCAGAGGGGTTCTTCAATGAGGAACACAACAATTTCGGTGTCTTTTTCTTAAAGAAAAACAGAGAATAAAGAAGAAAAAGTAAAATATTTCTCATTCGTTGCCCATGATCTACGTTTTTTACCGTAAAAAGAACGCTATTCTGTGTTCGCATACAGTCTGCATATTTTTCGTAGGAGAAATTCGTCAGTTACATCTATTTCACGAATATGAGCTAACGAAATCTGCTGCATCATAAAACAGAAAGTTGCACGACAAACGTGCAATGGAATCTCACAACTTTTTACATTAAAAAGACAAACGATCAAACGAACGTAAAATGTTGCATCGTGCAGTTCCTTTTCCCAGCCTATCCTACAGGATTTACTATTTTGTTCAAGATATTCTGACTAAACAATAATACAGTAAAAATAAGACAGCAGCGATATGTAATGAATAAAAACATTTAAAATAAACCAAATGATAGATCTCTTCAAATAAAGTACAATCAAATGCATAATAACGCTGAAAAATGTACTTTACAATATTCGAAAAATATACTCCGTTGAAAGCCATGGAAAACTGTAGCATAATGAAACGAACGACGAAAAAGTTTATGAATCAATAAAATGTGGTGTTACTGGATTGAACTGGTGAAGGATCGTTATATTTAAACCTCCTCCGAAAAAATGTTGGACGTGATATAAACAATAATACAGAAAGAAAAGGTAAACAGATTGAAAGCTATGTAGCAAACTAGGCACAGTTACTGATACGAATAGATATTAAACACAGAACCAAGGTCAAATCCGTAATTAAAAGCTTACGTCAATGGTCTTCGGCTTCCAGTCACCTCTATTTCCATAAGGAGGGGGCTCTTTTAACAAGATACCCAAAGCTTTTTCATGCTGTTTAAACCACGGGTCTTTTACGATCCATTCATCAACCACGTTTGAAGGTGACGGCAAAATTCTAGGTTTTGGAAGTATGCGTATTACAATCAAAGAATATTATAAAAGCATACTCAGTAAGTGAAACAGACATGCTCCAAAACGCCTAATCAGCTGCAGACACTTAAACTGAGGTTTCGAAATTACAGGATTCCAATATATTATTTATGATTGTCAAGTTACACCGGTATTGTTATAAAAACTGAACCTACTGAAACAAAACTCAATTGTGAAAGTGTATCACAAGATCTCCCCATTAAATGCTATACTTTAATTATCCAATCGAAACTATATATGGATACATAGATTTTACAATAATCGAATCTGCTCAATGTACCTTCAAACTTTTTTTTGAGGATCGTTAGAAGGTATTTGACTTACGACAAGAAAGTTAAGAAAATCGCGAGAATATGAATACAGTAATTGGTTGCACCCACTTTACCAAATTTAAATTTAACTCAGATGAGAAATAATGATACCGGATTGAAACGGAAAAAATGCACAATGATGGGAAAAAATTCCATTTCTCAATTTGCACAAGTCTCACTAGTGCATCGCCTCTGTTTTTAGACGCGTATGGCAATCATTTAATGGCATGCATAAATTGTCCCCTAGAGGTTTAGAAGCAAGGGGACAGTACGGTCCTGCTATGGTGTAAGGTGACAACTAGATTTTTTTTCTTTACACTGTGTATTTTCGTCATCATGATGTGATATCTTCAGCGGAGGTATCGAAAGGCCTCAATAATTTATGGGCTATATTTATTCATGAGCTTAGTTCACGCTTAAATCTTGTTTTTCGGCCTCAAATCGCACGTCGGAAAATACGGCCGTGAATCGGGCACTTGGCATAAACGTATCGATGATTCCCAGGGTAGTTGGAGCGAGGGGACGGTGAAATGCGCCGCCGTCAAATCTAGTCTTTGAGAAGTATTCGTTATTTTCGTATTAGAACGTTCGATCGGGTTGGGACCTATGCAGTGACGTTATATAAGAATATAGGATTTTCGATATAGAAGATTGGATTTGTCTTACCTTATGATAAACGCTGTTACCTCTTAGAAGCGTTTCAAATTAAAATATACATCAAACTGGCCGTTTGTTTAAATTCGAATTGATTAAGTTATCATAAGAACAAGATTATTGTCCTCGTTATATTTTGACAACGGTATTAATAAGAAAATAACAGTGATATACGACATTCAAGGTCAAAGATGCAATGAACCTGAAACTCGTTTATATTTACGAACTGTATCCAACAGTGTAGTTCCGCTTGTCGGTAGTCGAGAGGTGTGATTAGATTTTTCATTATTTCTGTTAAATTCTCAATCAATGTATTGCGAATGCGCTGCTTGTGTTAACATGTTTGTTCATATCGTTTTTTCAACTGCTATAGAAATATTTGTACGAATAATATTTTAGGTGATTGATTCTTGTATTTTTGTTGAATTTTCTATTGTTGAGGTTAAATTCTTATTGACTTCTGATAAATGGAACTGCTTTCAAACGAGCTTTCGATATTTACCGGGAATTATTTTTTTTGTGGTTTGCATTGGATCAAACATTTGGGTATTCTTCATTTATCTGGAAGTGATAAATATGGCCATGTTCCTTATTTTTAAGCCATAAAATAGTTTTAGTTGTTAAATATTTCTGGAAGTAGTGATTCGTTGCCTCTTTGAATATAAATTATTTATTTTCTTTTGTCGGTTCCTAGTTAAAGTTATTTCAAATCAATTCGTTTTCACAAACGATCAGTTGTCAGAAGTACACAAAAAGCTGATTAATATATGTATGGTATGACCGTTTATGATTATACTGACGTCATTCGACACGTAATAAAATTTGTTTATGTGCAGTCATCCTTAGAAGGAGCTGTGGTGAAAAGTTTACTTGTCTGTGTAACTTTCAAAACGACATTGTTCTCCATGCGTGTCGTCCCTGGACAGGTGGACCAAAATATGGTTCGTTACAGCACCCAACGTTTTTGATGTATTATGAACGGATGCATTTCTCTGTGCCGTGGCGCATGATATACTTTAAATAGAGGTAGCTCCGTTCTGTCGGCTACACATAGCTGAAGGATCTCTCATCTATACAAGAGCAGGTAATATTTCCATTAGACTTTTATGTTTATGCGAGATGCATATATACACTGCAGAGGTTTATTGCCATGAATTCCTTACCTATTTAATTTCCTCCTTGGTATTTAAGAGTTAGGAAGTGGTAGCTTAAATCAAATTCGATGCCAAAGGTCTGCGTCTTGATTATGTAAAGTATAATTTCGGTGCGAAGTAAGCCGTTTGAGGACCTTATTAATGAATAACTTGCTGCCACCTAAGTGGTTTCGGGCAGTTCTTTAAAACAGTTCAGCTTATTAATATAAAGAAATTCAAGATTTTTCAAATTTTAATAAATTATCCATAGTGAGATGTGTTGATATACTAAGTATATAACATAAATAGCAAGGTTAGAGTGGTCTGTGTTTTTGCAATATAAAATATGAACGTATTTCGAACGAAAGTTGAACTGAATTTTATTTCCGTCCGGTCGTTCACCAGGTGTGCTTCTGCGTAGCGGTTTAATTTGCAGAATTTATTTTGCATTCATGTATTTTTTCAGTTTACAGTAATGCGTTACGTTGCTGCGTATCTGTTGGCCGTATTGGGCGGTAAGAAGGAACCTCAGCTTGATGACATACAGAAGATCCTGGCTGCCGTCGGCGTTGATTGTGACGATTCGAAGGCGAAGAAAGTTATCGAATCATGCAAGGGCCATGACGTGAATGACCTGATTGAACAAGGTTAGTGTTTTTATTTATGTAGACGATAGTTTTAGGTGTGGCACAAATATTTTTTGGAACCGTAAAGAAATTAAATAACAACAGTATATGAAAAACGACGCTACAGTTGTTCTGACACGAAATGGACGGATGGCCAAGTCTGTCGAAATTTCCTTCGTTTCAGCCAAACTACGTTAGCGATGATCAGGAAAAACAACGAGTTTGATTTTTGAATTCTAATGAAGGCTTTACTCTCTGCCTATCCCGTATAGCTAGAATCCTTGTCGTATTCATTTCTTAGTGATTAGCGACCAATTTGTTACTCTCACATAAAAGAGTTGAGCAGCGAGCAATTTTCTCTTGCAACTTACCAGTCAAATAGGAACCAAGAAATCCGTGATTCTAGCAGCCAACCAACACTACGGTTAAGTAAGGTGAGTTCCTTCTTGCATGTTGGAAGATTCGTAGCTTGTCTGATGAAGGTAGTATCATCACCTCGCCCGTACTGGCCTTCTGTACAAACTCGATGTACTGGCGGTCACGGAAGCATGCCTCCCAAGGAACGGTACGCTTGACTTGATCCACAGGATGGATTGTCAGTTTGATGGTCAGACCGTAGTAAATTGCGCTGTGCCGGTGTAGATATCCTCTCTTTCCCCTCGGGTAAGCCGGGAGGTCATTTTGATGGAACAGGTATCGGAACGAATCTTGGTCTGTCGCGTAAGTATGGTCCAGGCGGTAATGAATGTCATTATCACCGATGACATGTGCCAGCAAATGTGCCTAGTGCCCTCGACAATGACGCTTTCTATTACTGCTTGCAGTGGGCTGTTAGCGCTTTGTCGTTTTACAGTTGTTATAGAACGCGAAGGTGGATGCCGAGTACAGCACACATCCAAACATAATCAGCCATCACGTTACTAACAGCATGAATGATAACATAACGGTAGACATCTGTTAAAGGTTTTGTGCGACGAACAGATTAATCTTCACCAGACTACTCCCTCGAGATCTAAATACCAGGTCCTTATCAACCTCAAATGGCGCAGCTCGTTACTCAAAACTCGTTTCATGTGTGACCCCTGCAGTTGGTCTGATCACCGTATGGTTGTAGCGGAACTTTGCCTAAAACTGATCGTGTCGCATCAACGCCGTCTCGTTGACTCGCGTCTGCATCTCGATGTTAACAGATTAAAATACGACGAAGTGTAACGGCGAGTCTGCCAAAAGCAGGTAGAGAGTTAGTTTTACGGTTTCGACTGTCTTGATAAAGTTCCTGCTAGTTCAGAGCCAGCAAGGACGAATAAGGTCACTTCTGAATCATTTGTTTTAAACAACGGCAATAACTGAACTTATTATGAGCCAGTGTTCGCAACACCAATGACGTGATCCATTTTCAACCAGGAAAGTTAACTAAACCCAAGAGTTTTTTTAAGTAGCCTTTAATCAGTTGATACTGCATTGTAGTACCGTCTCATTGCGCTTTAATGCACTTGGTGCGGTTTAGGCAAGCGATTCAGCAAATTGTTGTTGTTCAAAATATCGGCTCTGCAGTATATTCTTTCGATTTTCCTTTTTCTGCAACTCTCTAATCAGAAAATCTTTAGCACTAGAAAGTAATTAAGATATATTAAGTAATTAACCATTCATCAAATTAATTTATTTATTTGCGAATTTCATTGAGGCTGAATGTTCGCCTTGTTCTAAATCCGAAGGATTAAAACGGAAGGTTTCGATTTATAAACATAAAGCGTTAATCTATTTGCTAAAGTTCATGTATGGATGCCATATGCACTATTCATCCCACTGGTCATCATGATGATTCTGGCGCATATAATAGTGCTAAATAAATATGGAACTTCTCACGATTTTGCATGGCTCTCATGCTAAGTTGTGAAGCTGCTGTTCAACAGATTATTTTCCTTTGTTTCTGTTATTGCTGTTATGGTACTCAGTAGTTGAGAGAAGCTCATTAACGTACCCCCAATA